CTCTCCACTTCTTGTATTTTTCCCAATCCGACAATTGTTCCTCCACAGGGTTGGGAGGGGAGAAGAAAGAAATGATGCATGAAAAGCCCCATGAAGTCTTGTTTCAGTAGATGGGTGTGACGTAGCCAACAGGAGCAGTCTGATTAGTCATGATTTATCCATGTGGGATAAGGATGGTGGGGCCAAGGGACTGTGCTTGGTCCTGTGGATAGGATTGGTCAGGCTAAGGGGGAAGAAGCACACAAGTGCTCTTCTCCCATGCCTACATGGAGGTGAGGATGTGGCAATGGAATTGGCAAAGCTGATACTTTTTTCCTTGGTGAAATCTCCTCTGCTTCTTTGGTCACTCAGGCTGAGCACTGGGGAGAAGTTTTGAACTTCAGGGGCTGCTACAGGCCCTGAGCAAGGGTATTCCCTTAGGCCATGGGAGTTTTCGCTGCAGTCCCACAGACAGTGAGTGGGCTAATAAAAGATAGACCCTGCACTTCTCAGCTTTATACCCAGCTTTCTACTTCTCAGCGTCAGTGCTCTTCTAACGTGGTCTTCTTGAAATTTTGCTTGTACTTGCGGAAGAGGCTTTGTTAGCTGAACATCACTACTGCAAAAGAGGCAGAGTCTTCACAGGATAGAGAAATTTCGGGGTAGAAATCCAGGCAGAAGAGACAGTTTTTCAGAGCACTTTAAAGAGTTACATATGTGTGCACTTTTTTCTGAGAGAGTCAAGCTAACCAAACCCATTCCTCTGCATTGGGAAGAAAATCAAGTGTTGTGTACCAGGCCAGAAGCAGATAATGCCACAATATGTGCTTTATGGCAAAATGTGTTTTTATTGCGGGTAACATTTACAGCTTACATGTAGCTGCTGCCTATAAAGTGACTCAATTGTTCTCTGGATTTTAACAAGTCATATTTTTGTGCAAAAATCTTAGTGGTTTTCTATCGATCTTCATCACCTTGTGTACAGCACAGTTAAGCATAATCCACAAGTGGTCTAGATTGTGGCAGTGTTGCAAATGTCAGCACAGTAAAACTCTAGGTGAACATTGTTAAAGAAATATTGTTGTTTGTGATACTGGGGTTTAAAACTCCTCAAAGGCAACTATATATAGATTTTAAAAGTCTGAAAAAAAAATGGCAGTTCTTATCTATTTTGTGTATGTTTTCATATAGAGAAGGAGTTTTTTATGTGCCAATAACCATCACTGTAGTGTTTTGTAAATGGGTGTTAATAGTGTTGCAGAGTTCTGTATATGAGAATATACTTTAGCCACAATGACCTGTTAGTGTGAACCAGCGGCATGTTTTTAATCTTACTCACACCTCTCATCAGAGGTGCTCACTTGTTGGCTTTAGTAGAGCTCACTCATGCCAGGGGAAGTTTGACAAGCGTCAGGCCTCAAGAATACAGACTTCATCTAAATCCCCACTTTTTCACATTGTCCCTAGACAGTATGTTACATGTGAATGATCTGGCACATGTAATTTTAAAGTTTCAACTCTGGTTCAGTTACACTCCTCGATTTTGTTGAGAAACATTTTGTCAAAATTTGGTTTGGCCTTTCATTGCATTTGTATAAATAAGGAGCGCTGATTAAGTATGAATATCATCCACCTATTTCTAAAGGAACCATCTGTTTCTGTAGTGTTAAAATAAAGGCAAATTTCTCTTGCTGCCTTAAACATTGCACAGACTTTTGGGAGGACTGAATGTATGACCATCATCGTGACTTCTGCAGGAGAAACTTCATGGATCCCCAGCAGGTTTGAAACGAGATGGTTTCATGGTGCTGAGATGCTGCGTTACACTGCAGGCCCTGCCTAGTGCACTCCTGCCATCTGTTTGATTTAAAGTGTTTGAGTAGTCCCCATGAAATTGATGGGATTATTCACATGCTTGATATTCTCCATGTGCTCAGTGTCCTGCTGGTCCAGGACATCGCTGGGAAGTGGCACGAGTCACGTCCCTGCTTTCCATTGTGAATCTCACTCCTCTACAAAATGGTTAACCGGATCTTTTTGTGACAAATGCCATGTAGAATATTTGAGACATTATTGGAGACTAAATTGATAGTAGTAATTCCATGCTGAATAATAACATGCACATGGTGCCATCAGGCACACTGTAATCTCTGGGCACGTGTTACGGTATTCAGTACAAAACAGGTTTTGGCAAAACTAATTGCTGGGTTGTCCAAGTCATTTCTTAACCGTGTCAAACATGTGCCATTTCCATTTCCAACCAGTCAAGCCTATAATGTATGAAAGTGTTGTACATTTTCTGAAACTTAAGTGATGTAAAATTATTTAATTGACTTCTGTTCTGATTGCTTTAATGAAGTTTGGTCTTTACATGAAAATAAATATCTTCAAAGAATTGTCAGTGCCAGAAGTGTAAATGAACAAAATAAAAGGTGAGATACTTAATTACAGAATCTTTCTCAAGGTTTCCTTTGTTTGGGTATTTGGGTCACCTTTTAGAATTGCAGCATTGCATTGCTCAACAAAATGAGCTCAAATAGGCTATGGGCTTACCTGGTAAGAATAACTTTGAATATGATCTTAATAGGATGTGTTTCAAATCAGACAGCAGTTCTGTGATAATGGGTACACCAGGTGAGTGTTCCTTCCTTTCTGGAGGATTTGTTTGAAGAGCTGCATGCAGCTATGCAGAGCTGTCAACTGTCCCAATGTCCCCCTCTGGGTTTTTTATGTTCCCTGCCCAAACAGACCAGTTTCCTGACAGCAGTTTATACCATCAGACTTGATAATTGACTGGGAAAAGAGCAGGAGTTGCTGTTTTCTAATGGGGAAATGTCCTAACCCTGTGTTTTATTCAGTTTGATGATTAGTCAAGAGCAGCATGACCATGGCCGTGGTGTGCTGGGGGCTGCCCTGGCTGCGCTCCCCAGTGCGGCAAAGGAACAGCACCCACTGGACCAAATGGAAATTGGATCTGTTACCTCCACCTGCCACAGATACCACGATCGAATCCTTGCAAGATCCGGAGTTGGCTCTGACAGAGCTGTAACCTTTTGGTCCAGGATGCAGAGAGATCACAGCCAAGAGGAGGTGCTGGCAGCAGAAGACTGCTCAGCAATCCAGTATCTGTGGCGGCGCTTATCTTCAGGAGGTGAGCAAGGAAGCTTGTCATTGTGCACTGACAGCTTCTGTTTTTAGGTTTCTGGCTGATAGTGCTTATAAAGGTGATGCTATTACTTGTCACCAAAACCACAGGGCAGCTTTGTGGAATAATGAAAATCTGGTGGCTCTGCTGTCAAACACTCCATTTTTTTGCCTTCTCCCATTTCCCTCTGCACTAGTTACTATCGCAAAATAACTACTGATGGATTGATTTTTGCCAAATGCATTCTGCCATCTGTAGAACTGAACTGCAGGCAGTAACAGCACTTGCTCCAAACCTTTGTGATCATTTTCAGGATCAGACCCCCCAGGCATCAGGGTTGGATGGTGCTGCATCCGAACTAAAGTCATCCATACAGTGTTGCACAGCCTTTGCTTTATGTGTGGCACGAAGTGCTTGCTTTCAAGGCTGCTTCAGGTTGTAGGAAGTAAGTGGAGAACTTTAAGTTAAGTGTCTCAGTTTAATGTAACTCTCATTTTTTTTCTGATCTTAGTGGTTGCCTGCTGAGTTGCGCTGGGCTGGTTGAAGAGACCTGCCACTGATCATTCCCTGAGCTGGTGTCCCTCCAGTCAGAGCTCCCTGTACGAACACACTCAGGTGCTTCAAGCTGCTGCAGTTTCACTTCCAGCACATTCACTTGTCCCAGAATGAATGGCATCTCAACTCTTTTCCTGATGGAGAGGCTAACACATTCAACCCATCAGGCAACCAGCTGAAATCTGTGGGGAAACAGTCATGCAGATTTGCCATAAGCAGTTCCACCTGTCACATCCTGGGGCTCTTTGTTAACTGGTCTCCATGGCAGGTTTTCACTTGTTTGTTTAATGTGTGTGACCTACCTGGTACCCATGTGTGTGTGTGCATGTGTGTGTGATTAATTGAGAAGCTCTGCATAGACCTGAAGTTTGGAAAGCTTTTGCCTTTTGAGAGTTAACTGCAGAACTACTAGAAGTATTTTCTGCATCTTAATTTTGACAGAAAAGTCCCAAGGGAAGTGTGGGCTTAGTTTGGTTAAATACTTTTATAGGAGATTTTGGGGTGTGGATTTCAGGAGG